GTAAAGAAAAGAAAAAAGATGAAAAAAATGGTGATGGTGATAGTGAAAAGTCGTGATGAGATTGGGATAGAGCTAGTGGTAAAGTTTTGTGAATTAGCGTGTCAGTAGTTAGTGTGGTAGCGATTGGTGCTGTTATTTTCTGAAAACAACTCTCTAACTGATGAAACGGTCCTGCCGAAGAAGAAGGTAAAACAGGAACCGAAGGTGAAAAAGAAGAAAATGAATAGTTGAAAAGTAGGGAGGAATTAATTCCTCCCATATTATAGTAAAAATAAATAATATATTAATGATGAATATTGGGGTTGAATCAAAGTTAATAATAAAAAGTTGATTTTACAATGAAGTGCTGATGGCAGTTGTAAGTTATAAGCAGCTGAGGAAAGTCCGTACTCGCACTTACTGGAATGTAAGTAATTTTAGTGCTAGGTCAAATAAACCTAGGCGGGTTTGCTGACTAATATTAATTTATTAGTATTAGTGACCCGACGGCTGGCTCTCCTACCTAATCTGCTTCTTTCTCTCTCCTAGCAGAATGGTAGTGAGTCTATAAAGTGCTATAGTGACGATTACTAGGGAAACCTAGGAAGTGAGACGTCGTAAACCCCACTAGCGAGCAATCCAAATTCTTTTAAATTGGTAGGAGCACTAAATAACTAACCTTTATTTTTATGTTTGTGAAGGTAGTTAAGCAGAAAAGTTTACTCAATAAACTTTCTCTTTAAGAAGAACAAAAATTCTTATTTGGTAATTCTCACAAAGAATTAAGACAGATCATTGGAGATAAGAAAAAATAAAGTGAGTTTGTTTACCTTGTATTTGCCTTATTTAGGTTTTTTTGGTTTTTTCTCACTTATATTTTAATTATCCTGAGTAATTTATTGCTCAGTTAAAAAACAGAATACGGCTTATTTCTTCATTGTAAAAAAGTTAATAGGAAATAAAGCAGAGAGTGATAAGAAATAATATTAGTTTAATTTTGGAGGTGTAGTTCAACGGTAGAACCGCAGTCTCCAAAACTGAAAATGGGGGTTCGATTCCTCTCGCCTCTGCCAAAAAATATTTTTTACAAAAAGGTTTTTTAAAATAGAAATTCCTTTCTGTAAAAAGGAGAAATTTTTTTCTTTTTGTAATCCCACAGCTCAACTATTTACTAAATGACGGAAAAAAAAACTAACAAACAACAATATGGAGACGAAGATATTCAAGTCTTAGAGATTATTGAAGCGATTCGCGAAAACCCCGGAATGTATGTGGGTTCGGCCGATGAACAAGGTTGACACCATCTTTTTCAAGAAGTAATTGATAACTCGATTGATGAAGCAGTGGCTCGTTATGAAGAGGAAAAAAAAGCCACTCAAGTAAAGATAATTCTTTCGGCTGACCAAAGAACAGTCACGATTGCCGATGATGGTCGGGGAATTCCGATTGGTATTAATAAGAAAACCAACAAAAGTTCATTGGAAACTGTCCTTACTCACGCTCACTCTGGTGCTAAGTTCGAAAAAGGCACTGAGTTTGGCAAAAAAGCTTATAAAACAGCAGGTGGCATGCACGGTATTGGTTTAACGGCAGTGAATGCTCTTTCCGAAAGATTAGAAGTTTGAAGCAGACGCGAAGGCAAAATTGGCTATGTGTTATTCCAAGAAGGAATTTTAATTAAGTCAGAAATTATACCTTATTCCGGAAAAGACAGCAGCACTACTATTACTTTTACTCCTGATCAAAAAATTTTCGAAGAAATTAATCATTTTGAAATTGAAGTTATTAAAAGTCGTTTAGAAGAATTAGCCCACCTTAATCCTTATCTTAGTCTAATTTTTCAGCGTTCACCCGAAGCTGAGCCAGAGGTTTTTCATTACGAAGATGGTCTAGCTGGTTGAGTTCAAGAAATTAATCAAGATAATACTTTGGAAAATGCTGAAATCTGTTCGGAAAAATGAGTGTCGCCCGCGGAAGACAAATATTTTCATCTAGGCTTCGCTTTTCAGTATAAGTCAGGAAGAAAAACCGATATTAAGTCATTTTGTAATAATATTTCTACCGGCGGTGGTGGTACTCATCAAGAAGGTTTTGAAAGTGGTTTAGTAAAAGTTTGTTATGAATGAATAAAAGAGAAATATCCCAACTTAAAAGTTGACATTTTAAAAAGTGATGTTTTGGAAGGTCTGACGGCCATTGTGGCCGTGCGCATGCAAGGTCAAATATTCGCTGGGCAAACCAAAGACCGGCTGGCTAACAAAAAAGTCCGTGAAATTGTTAAAAACACTACTTATGATTTAGTTCAAAAGTTTTTTCAAGACCATTATTTAACCGCTGAAAGCATTGCCCGAAAAATTATTGATAATGCCCAAATTCGGGTTAAAACTGAAGAACATCAAGAGTTATTACGGGAAGGTCGCCAAACTAGTATTCTTCCAGGTAAGTTAGCCGACTGTATTTCCAAAAAACCGGAAGAGAACGAATTATTTATCGTGGAGGGAGAATCAGCCGGCGGTACCGCTAAAATGGGTCGAGATTGCAATATTCAGGCGGTTTTGGCTCTTAAAGGCAAAGTTATTAATGTGGAAAAATCCGAGCGAATTAAAGTCTTCAAAAATGAAGAAATAAAAAACTTAACTAACGCCTTAGGATTTAGTGTTAATGAAGCCACCCAAAACTATTATAATCGCTTTCAACCAAAATTAGAAGCCGGTTTTCCAGCGGAGGAACTCCAAATTACTGATGATTTTACTTACGAGGATGAGCAAGAGCAAAAGCAAACTATCCCAGCTCACCAACCCTTAACTTCTGAGCAATTACAAACTTTGGTGGAAAAAACTCGACAGAGCTTATCAAAAAAACTGCGCTACGGGAAAATAGTAATTATGACCGATGCTGATGCGGACGGTAAACATATTGAATGTTTAGTTTTAACTTTCTTTGCCCGTTATTTTCGTTATCTAATTGAAGAACACCGTCTTTATCTGGCGGTGCCACCACTTTACAAAGTGCAAAGTAAAAAAGAAGTTAAATATCTTTATAGCGACCAAGAATTGGAAGTTTATCGTCAGGAAAAACAAAAAGGTTATACCGTGCAACGTTTTAAAGGTTTGGGAGAAATGAATGCCCAACAATTACGGGAAACCACCATGGCTTTACGGCGGCGTTGCTTGCACCAATTGCTTTATTCTAGCCCGCTTAGCATTCGCCAAATTATTGAAGAAATGATGGGACCGAAAAGCACTTTCCGCAAGCAACGTTTAGAAAGTGGCGAACACAAACACGCCCAAGTAATAGTCAAAGAAAACGACCAAGTTGAAATTGACCAAGCCTTATTAGTGAAATTTCTTACTTACGCTTACGAAGTAGTAGAAGACCGGGCTTTACCCCAATTACAAGACGGTTTAAAACCAGTCCAACGCCGTATACTCTATACTCTTTATGAATTGGGGCTATTACCGAACAAACAGCACCGCAAAGCATCCAAGACGGTCGGTGATGTAATGGGTAAATATCATCCTCATGGCGATGCCAGTATTTACCAAGCTATGGTAAAAATGGCCCAAGATTTTAACTATCGCTATCCGTTAGTGGACGGTCAAGGAAATTGGGGTTCTATTGATGGTGATCCAGCCGCGGCCATGCGGTATACCGAAGCCCGTTTAACCCCTTTTGGATTATATTTATTAGAAGATTTAGCATTTGAAACAGTAGAATGAGTTGATAATTATGACGAAAACGAAAAAGAACCCAAAATCTTGCCGGCTAACTTAAACTTACTGCTCAACGGTTCCAGTGGTATTGCGGTGGGAATGAGTACCAATATTCCGCCTCATAACTTAGGAGAATTAGTGGACACCACTGTGCGGCTAGTGGAAAACCCAACTCTCACTACGGAAGAGTTATTCCAAACTTTCCGGGGACCCGATTTTCCGGGAGGAGGAATTATTTTAGAAAAAGAGAATTTGCTTAACTTTTACGAAAAAGGTGAAGGAACTATTTACATCCGGGGCAAAGTCGAAATTACTTCTAGTAAGCAAGAAAAAGAAAAGAAAGATTTAATTCGGATCAGCGAATTGCCCTATAAAGTTAATAAAGCCAAGCTAGTTGAAAGAATTAGCCAAATAATTAAAGACAAAAAAATTGAAGGCTTAAAAAGCGTGGCTGACTATTCTAACTGGGAAGAGCGAGTAAATATTCACTTGAAATTTGACCCGAACTATGACGGTACTGTAATTGTAAATAAACTATACCAAACTACTAGTTTACAAAATTCGTTTAGCGTGAAAATGCGCGCACTGATTGAAGACCAACCAAAAATCTTCTCTTTAAAAGAAATTTTCCAAGCATTTATTCAGCAGCGCTTAGAAAATATTGACAAAAAAGCCCAATTTATTCACCAAAAAAATCAGAAAGAGTTAGTTAATTTAGAAACCAGAATTTTCATTATTAATAATTACCAAGAAATTGCTGAAATTACTCATAATTCTCTGTCCGAAGAAGCCCGCGACCAAAAATTACAAGCCCGGTTCAATTTAGATCAAGAAGGCATTGACCGCATTTTGGATACCCCAGCTAATTTTCGCCAATTTAGTCCCGAAAGAAGAGAAAAACTGGAAAATGATATCACTAACCTACAACAAAAAAACCAAGAACTACAAGAACTAATTACTAGTGAAGAGAAAAAAAAACAAAGATTAATAGCCGAACTACAAGAATTGCAAAAAACTTACCAATCTGACTACCGCCGTACGGAATTTTCGGAAGAATTACATTTAATTGATGAACGGAAATTAACTCCCCATGAAGAAAGATTAGTTATTCTTAGTCAAGCCGAAAATAAAAAAGAAGATACTGTTAACACTTACTTAAATGTTCACGAAATTGCCAGTTTAGAAGCCACTAATATTCCCAGCCAAGGTAAAGAATTAAAGACGCGAGGTAATAGTTTGTCCATTATTAAACTTAATCGTCGCGATGATTTATGATGTTTTTCTAATCACGGCAAATTATATATTGTCAATTTCTACAAATTTACTGCTATAAATAAAAGCACCAACCTGCGGGAAGAATATGATTTAAAATTACAAGCCCGAGAATATATTACGGCTATTTTTGCGATTCCTGAGGGCAATATTGCCACTGAACAAGACTTATTGCTTATTACTAAAAAAGGAAAAATCAAAACTCTGAATACTGCCAAGTTGAAAAAAGCAAGCAATTCTGGGCGAAAAGTAATTAATCTTTATCAAAAAGTTCGAGTAAAATGCCCGCGTCACCAAATCCAAATGGAACAACACAAAACTGCTACTTGTTGTGATAAATCCCAAGGTATTCTTGCCTACGCTCGCTGTGCCGATTTCCGTGAATTACAAAAAGAGATTAAAAAGTGTAAGGAATGTAAAAATGTTTGAAGCGGTGGAGAAGATATAATTGTCAAGGCCGCTCTGATTAAAAAAATTAAAGATAACGAAGAAAACGAGGAAATAGAAGCGATTATTAAGCGCAAGACCAAAGGAGGAATAGTGAATAAAAAAGTTTCGGTTTATGGGAGTCCAAAAAGGGTTGGACATTGCGAAGAACATAAAAAAGCACGGGAAAAACACAAAAAAGGCGATTGTTGCGACAAAAGCCAATTTGGTGCTCAAATGCGTTGTTCCAAGTTTAGAGAATTACAAGTCCAAATTAAGGAGTGTGGAGATTGCCAACAGCCCCAACTATTTAGTGCTAAAAAGTTAAGCAAGCAAATAAAAAAATGTGAGCAAGTAGTTGATTTATTAGTAATCAAACCCCAGCGGCAAAAAGATAATTTAGGTTTATTGCTAATTAAAGAAGATAATAGTTGTTTGAAAAAACCCTGAACCAGTCTTGAACTAGGTAAAGATACCAAAACCAAAAAAACTAAATATTGTCAAAATCATTGAAATAAATTAACCAAAGCCCAAGAAGAAGCCGAAAAGTTCACCACAGAAATTAGAGAAAATAAAGAAAATTTAAAAAAAGATATTTTGGTTTCACCATTAGAAAAGGAAGTTAAAAAAGAACTTTTAGTAGCCAGCAAAATTACTATTACCCAAGAAATCAAGGAAAAAATTGCTAATTTCCGCACCGAAGAAATGAACGAGCAAGCTCGCCAAAATTACCAAACTAATTTACAAGAAAAAATTGCTAATCACCAACTTCTCACCGCTAAAACCCAAGAAAAGCAAGATAAATTAAATAAAGTTAGAGAAGAAGTCGAAAAATGTAAAAGTTGTCGAAAGTATTGTAATAATCACAAAAAATTACAGAAAGAAAAAGACCAAGAACACGAAAATTGCCCCCGCTGTAATAAGAAAAAGCAAGAAATTAACCAAGTTAAAGAGCAAATGAACAAAATAAAAGAGAAATTATTAGAACTACAAAAGTACCAACCCGAAGCCACCTCCGAAATTCGCAAATTAGAAAAAAAACTAGGGCAAAGTCGAGAAAAAAGCCAAAAATTACACGGTGAAGCCTTGGCTAATCGCCGTACTTGCCCCTTAATGCAAAATCTGGAAAAAGAAATTAAAGCGTGTGGGGACTGCCAAGAACTAAAAACTAAAAAATATACCGCCACTATCCCTAATGCTTTACTTCATGTCTGCTTATTCGATAAAAGTACCAACCCCGAAATATACCTTTTATCCCACGAGGCGGTTTGTTGATATAATAAGAAGGATTTGGTGGCTTTCTTAAAAGAAAGTGAGAGCCGAACGAGAAATTTGCTAAAAGACAAAGAAAGGAAAATTACTGATATTAAATTCTATACTATGTAATTATTATGTGTTGCCATGTCAGAAATTCAACTACTAGAACCTAAACTAAAAAAAGAATAACCAGGTTGAATTATCAGGCCATTACTCCAATTCTGAAAAGAATGTTCGCAAATCCTTCACGGCTTA